GGGGGTCCCTGGGGGCTCGTAGCCCGAGAGAGAATGAAGGTATTTGGTTTTAGCGACTCGGGCCGCGGGACTTTGTGCTGGCGGCCGCCAGAAGCCATACACATTCTGGCGAGCAAATTCGGAGCAGCCGACAGCCTGGTGCGTGGTGATGCCTCACCTTCCCGGGCCCCGAGCAGGAACAGCAGCTTCTTGTCCGTGTACTAATTCTCAGAGGCGGCCTCGGTGTTAGAGCCTTACCGTCTGTCAGCCTCGTTCACGTTCATCCTGTTTCACACAGGCACGGGATCTGCACACGTGTTGTGTGCATGTCTATACAAATATATACACACTAGAGGCCCGGTGCACGGAATTCGTGCAAGGGCTCAGCCCTCCCAGCCCTGGCTTCGTCAGGAAGGTCGTCCAGAAAGACGTCCGGAAGGGCGTTCGGCTGTCCGGTCTAATTAGCATATTACGCTTTTATTATTATAGATAATTTTGTTCTGTTGTGTGTGTGTGCCCTGCCGGTGGTATTGATAGGGGATGGACAAAATGACCAGTGGAAGGATCGAATCAGCACCCGGAGGGACCCAGCCACGTGCAGAAATGCTGGCGGCATTTTCATACGAGTACATATTGCAGGTGACATTAAGGCATCGAGTGTCATCACCGTAGTTCATGCTGTGTGGTTCCACGGGGCAGGCTGGGAGGAGGGCCCATCTCGGCACACACCTTCACGAGGGCTGTGTGAGTCCCAGGAGGAAAGGCAGCACCTTAGAAGGGTTTTGCGGGTGGCCCGTGGATGGGGCGTGTTCGGGCTGGGCCAACTGGGCCAGCGATGTTCCTCGGCCACACCCCCCTCCATCTCTACCCATCCCCCACCACGGTCCTCCAGGCTCCCTCTTCTAGCAGCCCCTCCTCCAGACGGCCCCCCTCCCCCCCCAGCGCCCGCCCACCCAGGGAACAAGAGAGGGGCCTTGATCTTCTTGGGGGCACAGGATCCCTCAAGTTACTGACAAAACCCCAGGCCCCTTCCCCAGTAGCACACGGCCTGCAGACACCAGCATTGCATGTGATTCCATGGCCCAGGGCCCTCCGAGTGGCAGCCGCAAGCCCTGGGGTCCCGCCAGGGCTGGGCAGGCTTGAGCTTCGGGGGCTCCCACCCAGTCTCCACGTCTGTGTCTCTCGGGGTGGCCAGCCTGGCGCCCCTGCAGTCCACAGCAGGGCAGGACCTCCTCCGTGAACCCAAACCTGAGTGCCCAGCAGAGGCCGGTAGCTCCTTTCCCCTCTTTCCAAGGTGGCAGAGCCGACCCCCCAACGCCCCCCCCCCAGGCCACCTCCCACCAGCACGCACTTCCCGCCCACTCACTCCCACCCGAGACAGAGATGAGCCGGTTTTAAGGCATAAAAACAGCAGACGCCGCCCGTCCCTGCTGCGCTGGCTGCGACTCCCTCCACGCGGCCCAGAAATTCGCAGCTTTCACACCCGTCTTGGAGGCTTGTCAAGTCTGAGGGTTTAAAATAATTTCCTTGACTTAACCAATTCAGGAACGAGAACAACACGTGAAACAAACAGCGTGTTGGCGGCATCCCCAGTGCACAGGCCCCCCGCCGGCTCCGAACCCTCTGGAACCGTCGCCCTGCGGGACCCGCCAGCCCTCCCCATTCTTCCCGCGACAGCCAGGCTCGGGCCCGTGGGCTGTGAGATGTCTTAACCCATCGGGACCACAGAGCGTCAGGGTCCCGCTCTCAGTGAGAGACGGTCCTCGGTGAGCTGTGGCCTATGGAGACGGAGGGTCCCGCTCTGCGGGGCAGCCCCACGCGTGCGGCCGACTCCCCGTGGGCGTCTGCATCTGCAAAGGGCCCGGCACACAGCGTGGGGCAGGGACCGCCCGTGTGAGGGGCTCGAGTGTCAGCAGGACCCTCGTCCCAGCCTCTCTGCCCGGGTGCCTGGCCACCCACACTGCCACCCCTTCCTCACCCACCAGAATTGAACCCGGGACCCTTCCACTGCGGGCCGACGCTCTCTCCACTGAGCGAAGCGGACGGGCTGCCTTATTGTTTGCTCGCCACGGCTTTCTGTGGGTTTGCGGCCGCTGGTGGTGGGGACAGACTCAAATGCACGTCCGCAGGGCACACACTCCCCCGCAGCTTCCTCACGGCCTCCCTGAGCCTCTGCCCCGGCGTGGGCACCAGCCGCCCTGAGGAAGGAGGGTGGGCAGGGCCGGCTCTGTGGAGTCTGTGGGGGAGATGAGGGGCGGGTGGCTGCTCGGGAACCTGCACAGGGCAGTGGAGGACGAGAAGGACACGTCTGGGCAGAGGTGCCCGCTGACCCCGGGAGCACATGGGGTGCAGGGTTGCAGGAGTGTTTGGTCCCCGGGAGTGCCCACAGCAGTGACCAGGGGGGACAGGATGCTCCTCTGTGGGCATCGGTCGGCCTCTGGCCCTGGCCGCTCACCTGGGGTCCCCCTCGCCAAGGCCAGTCGCCCACCAGCACTGCATGGTCAACCTGTCGACCACCTGTCAGACATCAGCACGGACCTCCACTGGGGCCTGATTGCCCCTAACTGCCCTCCCCTGCCAGCCCAATTGCCCCTAATTGCCCTCCCCTGCCAGCCTGGTTGCCCCTAACTGCCCTCCCCTGCAGGCCTGGTTCCCCCCAACTGCCATCCCCTGCAGGCCTGGTTCCCCCCAACTGCCTTCCCCTGCAGGCCTGGTTGCCTCTAACTGCCCTCCTCTTCTGCCGGCCTTGTGGCGGTCATCTTTGACCACATGGGGGTGGCCATATTGTGTGTTGGAGTGATGGTCAATTTGCATATTACTCTTTTATTAGATAGGATTGCCTGGAGCATTTGGTGTCTGCTGAGATTCTGTATGAATTTTAGGATGGGTTTTTCTGTTTCTGCAAAAATCATCATTGGGGTTTTGATAGGGGTTTCATGGAATTTGTAGGTTGGTTTGGGTAGAATCAACATCTTAGCAGTATTAAGTCTTCCAACCCATGAACATGGGATCTGTTCCCATTTCTTTATGTCTTTCATTTGTTTCAGCAATTGTTCTCATTGTACACGTATTTCACCTTCTGGGTTAAGTCAATTCCTAACTAAGTATTTTCTCCTTTTTGATGCTACTATACATGGAACTTCCTTTTCAGATTGTTCATTGTTAGTGTGTATGCAATGGATTTTCGTGTATTGACTGTATCCTGTACGGTGTTGAATTCGTTTGTTAGTTTTAATAATATTTTGGTGGGCCGAGACCGGTTTGGCTCAGTGGATGGAGCGTCGGCCTGCGGACTGAAGGGTCCCAGGTTCGATTCCGGTCAAGGGCATGTACCTGGGTTGCGGGCATATCCCCAGTGGGGATGTGCAGGAGGCGGCTGATCGATGTTTCTCTCTCATCGATGTTTCTAACTCTCTCTATCTCTCTCCCTTCCTCTCTGTAAAAAATCAATAAAATATATTTTAAAAAAAAATAATATTTTGGTGGAATCTTTATGGTTTTCTACAAATAAGATCATATCATCCATAAAGAGAGATAATCTTACTTCTTTTCCAATTTGGATGTGTTTAATTTCATTTTCTTGCCTCATTGCTCTGGCGGGGATTTCTAGGACTATGTTGAATAAAAACAAGGAAGGTAGGCCTGACCTTGTTCCTGAGGGTTTTCCATACTTGGCTTTTATTATGTTAGAGTAGTTTTCTTCTAATTCTACTTTTGCTGAGTGTTTATATCATGAAAAAGTGTTGAATTTTGTCAAATGCTTTTCTTGCATCAATTGATATGATCATGTGATTTTCCCCCTTCATTCTGTTAATATGGTGTATTACATTGATCAAGGTTCATATGTTGAACCATCCTTGCATTCCAGGAATAAATCCCACTTGGTCATGGTGTATAAGCGTTTTAATACGCTGATGAATTCTGGTGGTTAGTGTTTTGTTGAGTATTTTGCCTCACTGTTCATCAAGGCTATTGGTCTGTAGTCTTTTCTTGTAGTGTCTTTGTCTGGCTTTGGTGTCAGAGTAATGCTGACCTAATAGAATGAGTTGAGAAGTGTTGCCTCCTCTTCAAGTTTTTAGAAAAGTTTGAGAAGAATTGCTATTAGTTCTTCTTTAAATGTTTGGCAGAATTCATCAGGGGTAGGTCTTTTCTTTGTTAGGAGATGTTAATTACTGACTCAATCTCCTTATAGTCATAGATCTATTCAGATGTTTTATTTCTTTGTGTTTCAGTCTTGGTAGATTTTGTGTTTTTAGAATTTTCTAGGTTATCCAAGTTGTTGGCAGATGATTGTACATGCTTGCAAGTTCTATAACCTGGTCGCTCCACCCAGTTACTGTCCCAGGAGGCAGATTTCAAACCCGACATCTGACTCCAGAGCCCACTTTCTGTACCCCTCATGCCACAAAGGGATGGCTTTCCGCATCACAGCCATTTCCAGTGACAAGATGTTCTGCCCCTTGGGCGCCGCCCCCATCTCGCTCTGCGGCCTCTGCCTGGGTGAGCTTGAGGGCCGTGAACCGGGGGTAACCCTTCGATGACAGAACCTCAGCATCTTCCCTGGCGTGCGGCTTGTTGCGGAAACTTACATGCTATTTTAAGTTTGATTTACTTTTAATTCCACTGGTATTTCTGAGTCTAGGACTCGTTGTAATGTTTTAGAACTTTACGTCAAAGCATAAGGCCGGGCATGAGTGTGTCCAGGTGGAATTTCTGTGACCCAAGGGTCCTGCTTCCTTGCAAGGCCCTTCCAGGGAGAGGCTGCAGCTGCTGCTGTGGCTTCGGGCAGGGGGGGAGCTCAGAAGGCAGAGCCTGGGGTTGGCAGCGGTGGGCTCCCTGGAGGAGGGGTCTCTGTTCCTCTGGGTCGAGGTGACTACACTAGTGTCCTGGGACTATGGCCACAACCAGCATTTATTCTCACACAGATCTGGAGGCCAGAAGTCCAAGTCCAGGCGTGGGCAGGGCTGTGCTCCCTCCCGAGGCTCAGGTGGGGGTCCCTGCTGCTGCCTCCACCCCCAGGGGCTGCGGGCATTCCTGGGCTGGACCATGTCGCTCCCATCACTGCCTCCACCATCACGTGGCCTCCCTCCTCTCTGGCTTCTCCCTGTCTGTCCGTCACCCACGTCCCTGGTCCTCAGCTATAGAAACTGTCCCCTGAGCTGCCCCTGGATCTAGGGGCCACTCAGGTCACCCAGCATCACCCCTCTCCTCATCTCAAGACCCTTCATGCCATCTGCACAGACCCTTTCCCAAAGGGCATTCCCAAAGCCCGGGGGCGAGGATGCGTGGCCACCCTTCAGCCTGCAGTGACAGGTGCTGGCCACGGCGCGGGGCTGCACGGAGCTCCCGTTCCTGGGCGAGAGCCGGCCCAGCGCGGGACCCTGTGAGGCCCAGGTGCGGGGAGCCCGCATCCACCCCACAGAGAGGGGTGTGTGTGCGGGAGGGGCGCCCTAGAAATGACAAAAGCAGAGAAGGAACTAGCAGCCCCGACGTCACAGCAGGCCTTTGTATAACAATGGCATCAGGTGTCGAAGTAAATCATTGTAACGCCTACAAATCGAAAATGTAGTTTTTGAACAAAACAATCCCGCTGATGGGCTCTATCGGCAAAGCAGAGCCGGTGCCGGCGTGAACTCGCAGGAACCTCCCAGAAGCGTAGAGCCGGTTAGAGGAGGAACGGAAGCCGTCAGGGGCACGAGCAGAGGGTGCCGGCTGAGACCGGCGGCCTGGACCGGTTCGCAGAGGGATGGCGGAGTTTTCCAGAAAGGTGGGAAGAGTCCTCGTAGTTAAAGGGGAAAAAGAAGAAGGTGCCTGGTAGGCTGAGCAAGTGAAACATCAAAGACAGAGAGACCATCCCAAACCCCAGGTGGTGACGCACCAAAGGCTGCCTCCTGGCCCGCGATCATCAGGGGCCAGAACCAGGGAAGTGGTCCCGGAAGGAGGGGGTGGCCCCAGCCTCCTGCAAAGCCTTCCAGCAGGAATGGGGGTGGGGGGGGAACAGGCAGAGACTCGCACTGCTTTCACCACTGCACCCCCTGTGGGCCCTGCACCCCCTCTGCACCTCAGCAGAGAGCAGGCCTGCGGAGTGGCTGCTCACATCCCAGAGCGAGCGCCTCTGCGAGGACCTCCACCCCAGCCAACTGGTTACATCTGAGCCTGTGAGCAAACAGCTGGGCAGTGAGCGCGATTCTCCAGATTCTCCGTTCTCGGGGGAAGTGCCGGGAACCGCTCTGATTCTCATCAGGCTCACTGAGCTGTGGGTTCCGGGGGTGCAGGGGTGCGGGGGTGCAGAAGGTACAGGTGGTACAGGAGGTGCAGGGATGCAGGGGGTGCAAGGGTTGCAGGAGGTGCAGGGTGCAGGGGGTGCAGGAGGTGCAGGAGGTGCAGGGATGCAGGGGGTGCAGGAGGTGCAGGGATGCAGGGAGTACATGGGTACCGGGGTACGGGGGTGCAGGGGTGCAGGGGGTGCAGAGGCATCCGTCTCCTGCTCTGCATTATGCCCTTCCCCGAGCCAGAGCGGCTCCGGCTCCGAGCTTGATGAAAAGGGCCTGGGCAACCACCGTGACGGGCTGTGTGTTTGTCTAAGTGAATGGGGGGGGGGGGGGGG